CAGCTTGGTGAGAAATCCTACTTACTTGTGGTATCAGGTATAAGCTCCGGATACCAGGGCAGAGGAACCTCCCGTTATGGCTTATTTCACTCAGAGGTTCTTCACAGAGAGGCCCTTCTTTGTCTTCTACACCACAGAGCACCCCTAACCCACCAGCCAGGAAGCAACAAACTTCTCTATCACTCACACATCCTGGATCTGTTGCTCTTCTGATGCTAGTTTGAGCTTGGAGAAAGAGGGCAGCTTGTGTGACCAAATTCCTCAGTATCAGTGCAGGAACCCCTGTGGGGTGGAAGGTTGTTGTTGTAGCTCTGTGTTGTTGTTATTTCTTTATTTTGGTTTTGGTTTTGGTTGAGACTGGATCATACTGTGTGCCTCTGGCTGGTCTAGAACCTGTAAATCAGGCTTGGCCTCAAACTCAAGGAGATCCAGCTACCTCTGCTGCTCTGCCTCTTAGGGCTGAGATTAAAGGCATGCACAACACCACCCAGCTATACTGGAGCCATTTTATTTACCACAGGAGGATAAAATTGTATCCAGAACACCCACTGCTATTTCCTTGTCTAGAAGGGAACTATGAGAAGCCATCATCAATGTAACCAGCACTACAATACCTTGTCTGTTTGGTGGGGGTTGTGGGGGCCACTCAGGATCAAGTCATGGAGAAGTAGCCCACCATTGGGTCTAAGATTCCCACTGAATAGTCTTTGGCTTCAGGAGCAGCTTCATCCACCCACTAAGCATATCACTGGTCAAACTTTATTTCGTTTTGTATGAACTTGAGAAAGCAGCATATTTCCTTATAGCTTGTTCACACATACCACTTTTGGGTTGTCTCCTCCACAGCCAGTCCTGTGCCGCAGCTCTCTGACTGTCCTCTCTGTTAAAACTTCTCAGTTCCCATTATTCTGCTGTCCACTTGTATATCCTATATATGCTACTATCTATCTCCCCCAAAGCTATTTTTTAATCCCTCTTATGGGCCCTCCTTCCAGTTTCCTGGCCTCTGCAAACACTTCCTGCTACATAAATGTACATACCTAAATATAAGAAGCTGAAATCCACATATGAGAGAGAATATCAGGTTTGCCTTTGTGACACTGGGTGACCTCACTTAACATTTAGTAGCTCTGCCAGTTTGTCTGAATGTTATACACTTCCATTGATGTTATGCAGGAATCCAGTTCCATTGTGTCTCTGTGGCACATCCTCATTATCCACTTACCATCTGGGCTGATTGCATTTCCCAGCTGTTGTCACTAGAGCACTGATGAACATCATGTTCCAGGGACTTTGTGCTAGGATATAGAGTCCTTCAGGGCTACACTCAGGAGTGGTGTTACTGATTCCATAATGGCTGCGCTTGTTTACAACCCCACAGCAGCAAATAAGGACTCCCATTCCCCTACATCCACACCAGCATCTGTTGCCATGTTTTCTCTAGATGAAAGCCTCTCTGACTCAGGTGAGATGAAATCCCAAAGTAGCTACAATTCTCCTGTTTTAATGGCTCAGGATACTGAACATGTTTAAAAAATATTTATTACCCATTTGTGATATGTTTATAAAAAGATAAAGAAATAGAATATTTCTATTTCTATGGATGTGTGTGGTGAAGTATAGGGAAAGGGAATGTCTTAGCAGGCTTGACGGTATATTATAGAGTAGAGTTTATTCAGGGTATAGGGAATTAAGAAGACAGTAGAGGCAGAGAAAGGCAGAGAGAGAGAGAGAGAAGAGGGAGGGAGGGAGGGAAAGAGAGAGATAGAAGAGGGAAGGGGAGGGGAGGGGAGGCCAGCCATAAGCATGTGGAGAGGTGGAAGGGGTTGAGGAAGGGGAGAGGGGAAGGGAGAAGCAAGAGAGCAAAAGAGAGAGGAGGAGGCAAGCAGCCCATTTTATAGCTGGCAAAGCCTACCTGGCTATTGCTAGGTAATTGTGGGGAGGAGCATACCTGGCTGTTGCCATGTAACTATGGGGATGGAGTTTAGACAGAATGCTAACATCCCCCTGTTTTGGTTGAATTAAAAAAAATTAGAAAGTGGTGATGGTAAAGCAAGAATAGGGTCGTTGTTATATCTGGCTACTTCCTGCTTGCATTGGAGGTGATGTGTCTCTAGGGAAACTAGAAGAATGGGTATGGGGGAATGTTTGTCCAGTCTTAGGAGAGTTGGCTGTTTCCTGCTGCCCAGGGTCTGTGGAGCCATCTGAGGATAGGTCAGAAAAAAACAGATCCAGTAGATTTGTCTGTATGTGTGACAGGAGATGGAGCATCTGGAGGTTGCTTCTTTGGAGCTGTTCTGGATGCTCCTGAACTTGACAAGATGTAGGGAATAAGATTAAGTACATTTGGGAAAAAGAAAAATTTTTTTCTTAAGATGTATGTTTGAAACCCAGAGGAGTCCCACCCCCTGGAATAGGTAGTAAGTGGGAACCTTGGGCAGATGTACTTATCTGGGTGGAGTCTATTTGGCTCATGAGAGGTAGATCTCAGTGGGTTTCCTATAGCTTATAAGTTTACAGAGATAATAACATGAGTTAACATCAACAGTCTTTAAGATGAACCTCTTATGGAGCAGAACAAGAGTTTGTGACTAAAAAGTTGGATCATATAGTAGAATGTTTTATTAGAGTTAATGTTAGGACAGTGGCATAGCAAGAAGAGGAAATATGAAACATTTAATTGATGGAAACTGAGTTTAGGTAATGAGGTAACCAGTTACATCTGTGAAAGCTTTTTCTACCTGTCAATGTAGTCAGAAGTCTGAGAATGAATAAACAATAATCTACCAGTTACATATTTAAAAAATGACAGATTTCACTAGCCAACAGTTCCCGTGGTCACTATGGCCTCTTGGGCGGAGTCAGTCCAGCTTCTAAGCACAGAAGACGCAGGACGTTTTTCCTGTGGAATGGGTACACGTGACATGAGAAATGATTTACCTTTATTTAGCTAAGTCATTTGACTCAGGTATCTGGTTTTACCCACTGAGTTTCTTAATGATTATCATATTACAATCAAGATGGTATATTACAGGTATATCCACATCTTCTGAGACCATCTTGGGTCAATTGTTAAAGGCTTTGGGAATTCTGTCTGTAATAATCTTAATAATATTATTAGCAGACTTCTGAGAAGCATGAGGGCTGTATTGATTGGTTACAACTTAATAATTTAATAGCAGTAGTAAAAATCTATCAAGCCAGGATAGGAAAGAGTCTTAAGCAACTTTGGCAGGTTGTGTAGGTAGAGAAAAGCACATTTTTGTATTAGTAATGAAACATTTGGCTAGGACCAAAATAAGAAAGCTGGCAGCAGTGGCATAAGATTGTGGTGTCAGAAAATGAGTTTGTCCAGGCAGGTTCAGGTCTGTGACAAAAACTGAGCATGCAGGCCATGAGAACAGGCCAGGGGTGGGAGTGTGGATAAGTAAGCCCTTGGGAAATCCTTTTCCATTGACCATCCTGCTGGCAGTATGTGTGAAGATATCTTAAAATATATGTTAAAAGACATCAAAGCACCCATTGGGTGGTTATTTGATTATTTGCACTGGTGGCCCAAGAATAATTAAGAGGCCACCTAAAGGCTATAAACTGGACTTACTGGCAAACTTCTCTATCCTAGGCCAAGGGTTTTTTTTTTTTTTTAAAGGGCTGTGAGAGCCCTGAGAGAGGGAGGAGTGAGAGACGGTTTCAAGAGTTGTGATCACCCAAGGGTCTGGACTGGGCATTGAAATGTGTGTGTTCATGGCTTTAGCTGTACAGCATGCCTGAGAGGTGCTCAGTTGGGCCCATGCTCTTGTTTGGCAGGACTTCTTACTAGGGACTGGACATCACTGCCCAGTGCCTCTGGCAGCAGGAGTCTGCAGTGGGCAGAGAAAAAAAAGCAGGGAAGTATCCCAGTACCAGTATGCACACTGCTAGCATTCACTTTACAAGTCCCGGGGCAGAAAGGGAGAGAAAGAGAAAGAGGCTCTCTTGCATGCACTGGAGCAGGCAGCCAAGCTATAGGTGGTTACTCCCTTGAGAAAGCAAGTCTCAGACAGGGTTCCTGGCAGTACATCCCTGCTCTTCAGGCAAACTGGCTGAACTAGTAGTTGCAGCCAGCCACAAATGAGAGAGAGAGGGGAAAGTCTACCCTACAGGTTGCTTGTAAGAAAGTACCAGTTTAGTGGCCATGTAGAAAGATATTGTTCTCTGTTAACTGTAAACTAGACCATTCCAGTAAATAGGGACCAGGCACAAAAAAGACTGATACCTGGGAAAGACAAGTGGGTACTGAGGACTAACACTTTGAGCCAGTGCTCCTGAGAGAGCAGTTTGTCCAGACCTGGCCTAGAATTCTCAGCTGCAAGAAAGAAGCTGTCTCAAAGGGAGAGGGGAATCTCACCCAAAGGAATAAGTCCTAGAATGAAGGACAGTGAAAGACTGAATGTCTCCCATCCTCAAGGAAAACACAGGGGTAGTTCTGAGCTCAGAAACTCTCCACTGGGAACATGAGAACAGTTACTCTGACCACTGAGGGATGGGAGTGCTTACCAGTTTTAGGCTAGCAAGCATGGATCTCTTGTGGTAGCTGGGGTGGGATGCAAACCTGCAGAATTTCTAGATCCAAATCTCAGCACCAATGTGTTTATAAAAAGATGAAGAGAATGAGAATATGTTCTATGGGTGTGTGTGGTGAGGTATGGGGCAAGGGGATTTTGTATTTCTTCTTCAGAGAACACTGCTCAGTTACATACCCCATGTTTGGATTGGGCTGTTTGTTTTCTTATTGAGAGGTTTTTTTTTAAAGTTCTTAACATAATTTAAATATTAATCTTCTGCTGAATGAATGAACAAGGATCCCCTCCCATCTGGCAAGGTGTCTCTTTCCTTGTCTGATTCCTTTGCTGTGCAGAAGCTTTTAATTTCCATGAGCTCCTGCTCTCCAGGAAGTAGGGACTGATGAAGAAGGTGCAGCTGCTCCCACTAGGGTGGTATATACAACCACTGAGAGAACATCATATGCATATGCAAAGTTTCCCAGTGTGACACTATGGGACCTGCCTTGTATTGGGTCTTTTGCCTTCCAACTACATGATTATGTGAAGAAAATCAAGTTTGAGGATTATAAC